ATTGATATATTAATGATCCGAGGGCACCATCCGGACTATCACATGATCTTCCGGAGTACAACCTTGTACACATTTACAGTGTGCAATAGTAACGTATAGTTTATGATGGTTTACAATGGTTAATATTACGTATAATGAAGAAAAAAATTATGCAAATTTTCTATATATATTTGAAAAATTTTTTTTTTTTATTCATTTTAAAATTCTTACTCTTTGATGGCTGAATCTCACAATTATCCATTTTTATCTCGCAATGTATTTGAAGAGTTGCTTGACAAATTTCTTGACAGCAAATCAGTTAATAGGCGACGTAAAACTTTCATTACACATAAAGATTTCGACCTTTGCATTAAAGTTTTACAAGAACCTGCAAATACCAAAATTGGAAATGCGAAAGAACGTTACTAGGCCAAAAAAACATTTGCTTTACGTGACCTTGGAACGTCAACTAACTCTATATTGCAACTTATAAAAATTGATTCAAACTTACCCGTGTGCCCCATTGACAAGATATATGAAATACTGTGTAGTTTACATCAAGGGGTCTTGAAACATGTTGGTTCAACAAAACTTTGGGAAGCAGTATATAATCTACAGATTAATTAATAAGGTTATAAAATGGAATATTAATTTATATTATTTATTTATTTATTTATTTATTATTATTATTATTATTATTATTTTAATACAGGTTTCTGAACAATATTGCTATATTTCACAATTTTTCGTTAAAGAATTTGTAAAGAATTGCACAATATGTGCAACATGAAAGAATTTTCCTAACCCAGTGGCTGCAAAGCCGATAATTTCCAGTGCTTTTCTTAATAGGATTCAGGTCGACTTTATTTCTATGACAATGGTGATTTTCGTTATATCTGTCACATACGTGATTATTTTACTCGGTATTCTTGGGCCCGGGTATTAACAAGCAAGCGACCAATTAAGGTTGCTATATATTCATCTTTTTCGAATTCTGGATTTATAATCGATAGTGCTATTTAATTAACCCTAGCTACGCAATATAGGTTAGTTTCTTCTGATTGGTCAATCTCTTACAATTGTATTATCCAGGAACATTTTTCACTTAATGGGCGGTTGTGATTTTGTTAGCTAATCAAAACCGAGAATCTGCCATGACAATTTTGCATTCAATCATCTATACCTAACTGCGCACCAATTTTGATTAGCTAATCTCATAATCGTGATTAAACCGCTAAAATTTCTTTTATTCATAAAGTAAAATCATGACTACAAAGAAAATTAATCATGGTCAATTGAACGATATCTAATATTTTTAGCTAAAATTCTTACTCCATCATAAAAAAATCCACAAACAGCTTATTTATAAAGAACATGACACTTAATGACCGTCTCTTTTATTAAATACTTTTTATTAGACCAATAATCTTTGTGCTATTGTATTAGCAATATATTTCAAATGAATGCGTACTAAACGTATGAGATACAGTATAATCAAAAAATAAAATGTATAAACCAAGTATCTAATTATGAATTAATTGCATCCTCCTTTTGATTTATCGACTATTTCCTTTATTTTTTCTTCTTGTAGATCGTATACTTGATTTTGAAGTTCTTGCTTCTCCTTTTCAGACTTTTTTCTTAGTTCTTTTTCTCTTTTTCATAAATCATTTATTGTATGTATTAACTGGTCACGATCTTCAATTATCTTGTTAATCTTATTTTCCAATTGTTTTTGTCTAGTTTCGGCTTCTTTGATCTTGTTTTTTAACAAATTTAATTCTGTTACAAGTTCTTTACGTTCTGCTTTAAACTTTATTTTGTTATTTCTAAGTTCTGCTTCAAGGCTTTTGATTGTGTTTTCGAGATCTTTGATTATTTTTCTGAATCCTATTTCTTGTGATTTGTACTTTTCTTTTAAATGGGTATTTTCCTTTTCCAAGACTGTGTATTTTGCTTTTAAATTGCTTAATTCAGATTTCACTACGTAGTTTTCTATTTTCAACGCATTATTTTCTGTTTCAAAAAGTTTCGCATTTTTTCAGAGATTGTACTATAAAATTATATTAATATTAGAAAATTATTATTTTTTTTTTTGTAGGTAAAAGTTTGATGCTTACTTTTTCAAAAATCAAGTTGTTAGTTACTTCGATTAGGTTGCTAATAGTAGCGTTATTTGTCTAAAATAAATATTTGTTATTAGCATAAAATATAAATATGTAAGTATTATTTTTGTGTATAAAATACCTTTTGATGATATCAAAAAAGAGCTAAAATTGAAAATGCGATGATTGCAGTTAAAATTTTTTTAATTTTTTATATTTTTGGTCATTATTACGTGAACAAACGTAAACATTTTGCGATTGACTTTGTCTATCATTAGAAAATTTTGATTGTGAAAAATTGATAGCCGCAGGTTGTAGACAATTATTCGTTGCTTTCTCTTAGATATTATTGGATTCTGTTTGAACTTTAAGAACTTTGTTATTAATAGCCACAGGTTGTAGACAATTATTTGTTGCTTTCTCTTGGATATTATTGGATTCTGTTTGAACTTTAAGAACTTCGTTATTAATTAACTGTTCATTATTTAATGAACTGGATTGTTGCAAAATATTTGATTGTTCATCGTCAGTTGCGTAGTGTTCTGAGCCAGAATCTGAGGTGTCAGTCAACGAAGAATAATCATCAACATCGATAGTAATTTGACAAGCGTTATGGTCAGAGTTTATCTTTTTGGATTGATCTAGTAATGTTAATAAAAATATACACTTATTACACAATATAAAAAATTTACTAGAAATGACAAAAAAGTATTGATTTTATACTATTAGTATAAATTTTCGTAGCCATAAAAAATTCGTTTGTAAAATGATTTTCATCTTTAATGGTCCTTAATTGTTCATGAAGATTCAATTGATTAGAAAAGGAAACACCTTGTTTTAAGAAACTTGGAAATTTTTGTCTATAATTGTCATAATTAATTCTAGATAAAGTAACATTTGAAATTTCGTTTCTCCTAATGCGAGACATTATTATATTTTTGGATAGAGAGATATTGTACTAAACTTGAGATTTTAAAGAAGATCAAACAAACACGACCTTTATACTTAAAAATTATTCAAATTTTTATTTGTTTACATACAAACATCGCGTAAAATTTCACTTCATTTGATTATTGAGATTCAGTCAATGAACTCCTTAATTTTGTGAAATGTTACTTCGTTAGGGCCATTGCATAAACTCAAAAATGAGAAATTCGATAAGAGTCAGTCTATTTTTAACGGAACTCATGTAAGATAAACTTTTCAGGCTTCACGTGTGGCTTTTTTTGTACTTTAAGATTTATAATCGCGCGAAATTCTATTTTGTTTGAATGCTCTAAAAAAAGATCGAAAATTCAAACTGTCCAAAGATCATATTCGAAAATATCACCAAAATCACAAAATTCGCCTATATGACCCTTAGTTAAGGTTGGGTAGGGTATAGAATATCAATATTTGGTTTAGAATATTTTTTTTATTCATAGAAACTAATGATATTTAAGGGTAGGCTTTCTGTAATTTTTTGTTTCAATTAAATCACATATTATTTTGCCCAACTTTTTTTAAATTTTGCCCAACTTTTACTTAAATTATGTGATTTGATTGGTTAATTACGTGTTAATATAAATTTTGGGAAAGCCTACCCCTGCCGTAGATTATTTATATTTTTTAAAGCAAAATTTCTTTGAAAAATTTTTTCTATATTAAAATGTAATATAAATAGTCCTAAATAGTTCTGAATAAAAAAAAAAGAATACTTCCCGTAATAGAAGTAAATCAAGTAGAAATCAAAAATGCCCAGAATGCGATAACAATTATAAAGATATAGAAGGACATGCCGCAAGGGTACATTAAGCTCATTAAAACAACAAGCTGCTTTGAAAAGAAAAAAAGTTATCAAAATGTTCATCATAGCAATAGACAAGAAAAAGAAATGAAAAATTATATAATAAGTCCAATCTAACTCTCTAACTAACTTTGGCAATTTGAATCAAATCTGTTAGGAAAAATTCTTTTCTATGCTATCTTTCAAACTAAAAATCATATAATAAGGGGAGGAGTTTTTTAATAATATTTCTTTCATTTTATACTACCGATATTCATTTTATATATTCATTTCTTAGGGAAAATTTTGATTCATAACTCAGCAATTTGATTTTTATCGAATCAGATTTGTGTTAGGATATCACTTCAGCAATTTGATCTTTAACAAGATTAAATCTGTCAGGCATCCGTGTCGGGATGTTATCAACTTAGGGGAGTAACAGCATATGATGATAAATTATGTAAAAGTGATTGTACAATTCAAAATAAATCAATCACGTTGCTAATATTTTGAGCGATTACTTTCTCATAATTAGAAGAACGTGAAAAATTTATTAAGAAAATAAAATCTTTAAACTAGTGTATCTTAAAATCTTTTATTGAATAATGATTTGATATAGTTTTAACAGAATCTCATACTTAATAAACCTTTTAGTACTTTCAAGCTTCAGAGTCTCGTGTTCTAGTTGAATCTTGTGAAATCTTATTTAGTTTGTGTGAAAATAATCTACAAGAAAACTAGCCAATAAACAATTTCGAAAGTATCGTGTGAAAGTTAACTTCGTTAAGGCATTGCACAAATATCAAAAGAGAGGAATTTGATGGATGAATTGAATAAGGGGTCAGTTAATAGACTTGATAGTTTTGATGAAATCTCATGTTTTAGGTTAAACTTTCAGGCTTCAAAATCCACGATCATACAGGTGGGTGACAAAAATATTTCCACACCTAAGGACTTGGCTTATAACTCAAAAACTTACTAATTAACTTAT